TATATATTCATATTCCTTTTTTCCTTATTTTTCTTAGACTTAGCTATCATAATTAAAGGAGATTCTAAGATCATTCATTTCAGGGAGTCTAATAAAGGTGAATATTGCCTCACTTGTTGAAATAACGCTGGGTCACCAATCTATGATTTATAAGGGTTAAACAACAAAATTAAACACACGAAAATGACTTTGTAGATTCATTGCACTGTTCCTTTTCTGCGATGAATAAATGTGGCAGGATCAAAAGTCTGGCTTCCTTGAAAGACTCTATTATTCTTTCCAAGTGAACTAGAGGGTATTTGCCACAGGTAACTCAACTCCACCGCATTCATCCAAACAAATGAGCAGCCCACGTGCAGGGGGCCTGACACTGGCCTCAGGCAGAGTCCCTGACCCCTCTCCTGGGAGAGAAGGGGATAGACCACATCATGCTGCATGATGCAGACAAGACAGATGCCATGAAGGTCAATGAATACAAGTCAATGCAGGAGTGATGGCTGCTCAAAGGGAAGGGTGCCATTCACAGAAGAGGCAGGTCAGTGTGCCAGGACCCCGAGTGGTTCCCTGCATTTGTGAGTAGAACAGTTCCTGGGTCCTTCGTGGGAGGAGAGGGAATTCATTTTCACCATCTGTAAAGCCCTTTTTATGGGATGGATATGTGACAGCAGAAAGGAAGGAAGGAAGTGCTTCTTGTAAAATGGGGATCATTACGATAATGCTACCTCATTAGGTGAGAGATGAATTTGTCAAATTTGTGCTGTAAAGTTAGTGCTTCTCAGATTTTAATTTGCATATGAATTCTTCTGGGATTTAAAATATATAGAGAGATCTGAATCAGTGGGCCGAGAGGGGGGCCTGGGATTCTGTATTCCTAACAAGTTTCTCTGTGCTGCGGGGCTGAGGCCCACTTTGAGCAGTGAAGCTGAAAGGCACCGCCAACTGCTGCTCTAGGCTCCTCCTACTCACACACCTATAGTTACCTGGGCCTGTGAGGTGGCCAGTAGGTCAACAAGGACCACCGAGTGCCCCCAGTGCCCAGGTGTCTGCGGAGCAGCACATCAAGAACCGGGCTCCGAGGGTTCACGGAGGCTGAGTGTCTGAACCCCTAAAGCTAACATTCCCACCAAGTCTTTATGGTCTTACTCCAAAACACGCATCCTGCCAACGTAGCTCCTTTGCTAAGAAATGAGAGGCGGATGTTGAAGCTCCCCCCATCGCAAGCCCATTGAAGGTGATAAGATGCTATTTTCTTATCCACTGTGAGTCAAGGGTGAGCTTTTAAAGCAGGACAAATCTAGGTTGCTAAGTGCTTGGAGATCTAGGAAACTGCAGGGTTTAATGCTCTCCTGCCGTCTCCAGTTCTGGTTGCAATGCACAATTCTGATTCCATTCTGCAGAGCAAGGGGCAAGGCCAAGAAAAGTGTTCATCCTCTTTGCTAGCTGCCAGGAAGCCAAACCACTGACTATGGAGGCAAAGGGAGGGAAACAGGGGCACAGAGAAACACAGAGGAAGACAAATGGGAAGAGGAGGAGGAAGAAGAAGAGGAGGAGGAGGAGGAGGAGAAGGAGGAGGAGGAGGTGGTGGAGGAGGAGGAGGAAGAACAGGAGGAGAAACCAATGTGACATCTATTGGTTGTCTCCTACATGAGCTCCGACAGGCTGGGAGGG